TTTTTTTTATAGTTCGATTAGAATTTAGGGTTAGTGTTTATAATAAAAAAGTATAGGTGGATTTTAGTAAGATTTATATTTTCAAATCAAGACTCCAAATTTTAGCATCATCCAATTTCAGCATCATCCCCGACATTTAATAATATACAATATAACTGATCAAATATCAAAGCTATTAACTAAAGTATCAACATCAAATTCCACATTGCTATGATCCTCCTCAATTTTGTCACCAATACATTCAGAATTACAATTATCTAATGCTAATAGTTGTATTTTAAAATTAGATGAATTTAAGTCTATAGTATTGCTAATTATCAATAATTTACCTTCAACAGAAATATCATCACTTTGATTTTCTTCTAATATAAAAGTTCTTCTTCAATTTCATCTACTGTATAAATATCTTCAATTTTATTCTTTAGTCCTATAGATAAAGTTGCATTCAAGACTTATTGTCATAATTCATCCAATTTGATATTTGGTGCAGCATGAGTAAGTTCAGTATCAATATTTGAAATATAATAAGAATGTATCTTTACTATATCTTCAAGTTTTGTAATATTTAGCTAATATTTATATAATTAATAATAAAAATTAAATATAATAAATATTATAGCATATTATAATAACTTATTTCTAAATAAAAGAAAATAGTAAATATTTAATGAATTTTATTTTTGTTGATTATAAAACTATTTAAACACTAAAAAATTTTTTTATATCTAGCATTGTGTGGTGTAATTGCTAAGATTTTTAATACCAAGCATGACAAATAATTATTATCACAACTTTGCTACCAACTAATTAATGTATCAGTATTGTCAACTCAATAATAATTGTATGGTTTTATATATTTATGATAATCCTTCATTTGACTTAGTAATGCTTCAGCTAATTTTTTACCACCACCCAATGATTTTTATATATTGATAGCAGCTTTAGCTATTACTCAAAACCCACTAACTTGTATTCAGCATCTAAATTAAATAATATATAAATAAACTTTATTAAATAAACAATACAAATATAAATTAATTCTATTACTAACCATAATATTTATGATAAAAAAAGTATCCTAATTTAAAATTTTCAAAGTCAAATTCATCTATCTTCAGTTATAAATTTGAATAAAACTCAATATAATTAGCTTCTAATAGAATATAATATATTGCAAATGCTAATTGAACTAATTTAATATTAACATCTGCTAAAGTTGTTGATTTAAATTTAACAGCTATGATTGCTTCTTTTGCAGGATATATAATCTGTGATAAACATACAACATCATTAAAAAATTCTTGAGAGCCAATTATATTTGCTACATCTTTTTGAACTATATTTGAATAATCTTGTAAATCTAATATATAAATAATAATTATAAATAAATAAATAAAAAAAGAAATTAATTTAAATTTAACTATATATATCAATAATATTTTACAATAACAATATTAAAGAAATAATAAAAAATTAAAAAATATTATACTGTTATTAAACATGGCTGTAGTCTTAAAATTAAAACAAGACAATCCCAAGTAATTGACCAATGAGTTTTTACTGAAGACTGGATTCTACTACCAGAAATTAAATATTTTTGTTGTAAGATTATAAAGGAGTTCTCCAGCTTGATGAGATATTTTTGTCTATTTTACAATTGATTGACATTTTTTCATTATATTAGAAGCCCATTGTTATTTAAGAATAGCTTTTGTAATAAGATTTATATGATGTGCAATATATCGAATAGAAAGAATATATGAATATAATTTAATAACAAGATTTTTGGCTAGCTTCATATTAGCAGCACCATCAGTTACAATTTCTCTAAACTTTTCTATACTAATTGTTTCTATAATATCTTAAATTTTATTTGCAAGAAACTTTCCCATATGAGATTGCTTTGAATTATTTCGAAGACTATACAAGTATTCCTTTTTATTAGATGTTATTAACAAGTATGCATGAATACTTTGACCAATTAGATTCATCCACCTATCAAGACCTATACCAAAAATAGATATAATTAATAACATTACTATATTTAGATAACAAAAAAATTTACTTACTAAGTGTAAGATTTTTCTTTTTCAATTTTATTTTCAATTTTTATAGTAATATCGGCAACTTCATTTTTAATAAAGTTGTTGACAGACAAGTTTGTTTAGGTGGTTCATAAGCTTGATTTAAACATTTTACAAATTCTAAGAAAAAAGGATGTTTAACAATTGTAAAAAAAATTCTACAACAAATAAAAAGTTTTAAAAGTGATCTGTCACATTCTTTCTATTTCTCAGTTAAGTATGTAAAATTTTTTAACCGATTATTAAACTCTTGTAATTCATTAGAACAGGACTTTTAAATACTAAAAAATCCTCTTCAGTATCCTTTTCAATATTACTTTCTTTTGTATGAATTCTTGCAGCTACTAAAAATCCTCTTCAGTATCCTTTTCAATATTACTTTCTTTTGTATGAATTCTTGCAGCTACTATACAAAGAAATTTTTGTTTAACTTTAACATCAACTTTTGTGCATTCTGTAGCTAAATGATCTTCCAAAGTTTTTGACTTTCCACTGCACAAGTTTTATTACATTTTTACAATGTGCACTATAATATCACGATTTTTGGGTATAACTTTCTAAATATTATACCACACCTCTTTTGGAGACCTTCCAGTTAAATTTTTAGAAGCTATAGCTTCTTGCAAATTAGTAGAATCGAATCCATTTAAGTTAAAGATTTTGGAATTGTTGACGATTTTTGATATTATTAAGCACATATTATTTATTTTTTAAATTGTTTTTTATAGTTTATTTAATTAGTCAAACCACTATCATTACTAAATAATTAGTGAAATAATAATGACATAATAAATTTTATTTACTTTTGACTTTTGGCCACTTTTAACATTTATGGCATTAATTTTGGCATGCGGTATTGGACATTAATTGCGGCATGAATTTTGGATTTAGGCAATGCCGCATGCCAAAATTGAGGTAGAAATTATGCCAAAATACTTTCTACGCAATGTATAGACCCGATATCCTTGGTAACTTAAACAATACCCAATTTGTGGTTAGTGAGGGCCGCGACAATGGTCCTTTAATAATATTAAAATGTCAATTTATCGAAATCGGCAAAAAATGAGAATGCTAATAAATGATTTATCATTATGTCAAAGATTGTTATCAATGTGAAATAGAAAATCTTCATTGCTGATCAAAACAAAATTATCTGCATTATTCTTTAAACTGTCAATTTAACTCCAAGTCTACAACATTATAGACTATAATTCAATATAATACATATGACCCTCAGAGAACGGAGCGAAAATAATGATTGCATTAAACAACTTAAAATCACTAAATATGGGATGTGTTTG